GAGAGGCAGACCTTCATCATGAAGGATTAACACCCTCACAGAAATGATGGGCTAGAGCATGCCAGAAACTGTGACAGTGGTACGGGGTAGGGCAAGGCGCTCAAATATTCATAGTGTAGCTCTGAGTCGTTGGCATGCTGATGGCACCAGATGATGCTCAAAAAGGTAGAGTGTTGGCAAAGGAGACAAAGATCCTCAGCCAGGTGGATTGACAGTGTGACTGCCTCAATGGGTTCTAATACGTTAGGAAGTGTGAGGAAGGCACAGGATAGGGCAGTGTTCAGATCTGTTGTTTGTTAGGGTTGCTATGGGTCATACTCAACTTGATGGCACCTATTAAGAACAGCTAACAGTGAAACTGAGGAGGGCCTGAAGCATTTGCTGCACTGGGTCAAGGACTGTAGTTTTCCATATGGATTGATGTTCAGCATCGAGAAAACGAAGATTCTCACCACTGGGCCAATAGGCAGCATCATAAAAGATGGAGAAGAGACTGAGATTATTATTAACAATTTCAGCAGCTTGGTTCCACAATCAACACTCTAGGCACCAGGAATCAGGAAATCAAAAGATGAATTGCATTAGAAAAATCTGCTGCCATGGACTTCACCAGAGTGCTGAAGAGCAAGGATGTCCGTCTAGAGACTAAGATGCATCTGATCCAGGCCATGGACTTTGTAATTACTTGCAATGCATCAGAAAGCTGGATAATGGCCAAGGATGGCAGAAGAAGAATTTATGCCTTTAAGCTGTGGTAGTAGAGAAGAGTATTGATCATATCATGGACTGCAAAGAAAACTAACGCGTCTGTCCTAGAAAGGGTGAAAGCAAACTGCTCCCTAGAGGCAAGGATTTTGTGACTCTATTTTATACTTTGGGCATGTAGCGAGAAGGGACCAGTCTTTCTAGAAGGGTATCTATCATACTTGGAAGGGTGGAGGGACAGCTAAGGAGAGGAAGACATTGGATGAGATGGATTGATACAATAAATGGGACAATGAGGGCCAGAGTCTGTGAGATTGGTTCAGGATAGAGCAGGATTCAGAGCTATTGTGCATAGTAGGGCCGCTATGAGTCATAGGCAACTCAACAGCACATAACAACAATGACAACATTCAGAAAGGAATCCATTCTTTTTGTTTTTAATTTGTGGATGTCCATGATCACACAAAACAATTCATGACAGAACTGGATATAAATCTAGATCTAATTTTACCTCCAAGGTATTTCTACTATATCATACATGTATTTTATAAAAATTATCTCATTCAGTCCTCCCATTGACACAATAGGTTGTTATTGTTGTTGTGTGCTATCAAGTCAAAACTGACCCATAGATGAGCCTCCAGTGGATTTTTAGAGGCAGTAATCACACAGGAGACTTCCCATCCTTCTCCTGCGGAGCAGCTGGAAGATTTCAATTGCCTGCCTTCAAGACTGCAGTGTAGTTTCTTACTTCTAGGCCACCAGAGCTCCCTATAGTTTAGGTATTATACTCACAATTTGCATATCTCAATGTTATTACATGCCAGTGAATGAAATTTCAACTCACAATGACCCCAGTTGCAGAGTATGGACTGTTCCTAAGGTTTCTGTTGTTGTTGTTTTTGTTGTTAAGTGTCATCGAGTTGTAGGTGACTCATATAGCAACCCTATGAACGAAAGTCCTTGAGACCTGTGTGATTTTCATCATTTCTCCAGGTTCATAGGGTTCCCGGAGGCAAGCTATTTCGGAAGTGGATGCCACTCCTGCTTCCAAGTTTGTTTTAAACGGGGAGCTCCACCAAAGAGTGTCCACCATGGGTAACCATTATGACATTTGACACATCAGTATCACAGGATAGTCACATTTCACTCCTACGCAGCAGCTGGTGGATAAGCAGTTGAGTGCTTAACTACTATGGCACCAGGAACCTTTTTTTTTTTCCACAAGAAGGAAGGTTATATGGGTAGAAAGGAACACCTCGTGGATAGGGAGATATTTTAATTTATGGGAAAAAGAATGCTGAAATCATTGTAACATATAAAAGTATGTTACAAGAGTATGTTCTATTCAGAATAACTAATTACACATAAAAGTTATTCTAACTGAAATTTGGGGCTGCTGGTTTTTTAAATATATTTCCCCTCACCTAAAATATGCCTTCTTTCCAATTAGATTTCAAATACTAACATCTCCTGAAGTTTCCCCCTATAAGATGAGATTATGCTCTTCCTTCAAACCCTTGATAACTGTCCTATATTGTCCACATTTAGAGTGCTTCTTGCCCCTCTTTTCTTTTTTTCTCCTAGTAACAGATCTAATTTTTCTCCTTAGTAACAGAAATCCAACTAGCTCTTGACACATTGCCATCATGTCACATTTCCCAATCTTTGCAGTAGCTAAATGTGATCAGATAATCAAGTTCTACCAAAAAATACAAGTATGATCTGGGAATTCTAGAAATGCTGTTTAAATTTTTTAAAAACTTAGCTTTTAGAGAATATCTTTTGTCATTTTCCCATTTTCCTTCCTCCAGCAGCTATTTTGGGCCATGAGGCAACTGTAAGGAATGAAGCTATATGTTGAGGACAGTGGAGAAAACAGATAAGGTCTTGGAAAAGGTAAGACCAGAAAGCCACTAGACCATAATAGAATAAATAGTTTTTATTGCTTAACTGAATAAGGTAAGAAAAAGAAAGGAGGAAAAAAAGCAAAGTAGACTAAAAATTGAAAATGTACATCTTATTAGAATGAAGGATAATAGTAGAAAAACAACCCAATTCCTTGTTATAGACTAAATTGTATATTAAAGAAAACAACAAAGCAACAACCCACCAACAAACTTAAACAATCCATATGTTATAAATCATAAACCATGAACTCTATACCTGTGGTTACAATCCTATTTGAGAATAGGTTGTCCTTGCTACACTAATGAGGCAATATTAGTATTAGGTGTACCTTTTAAGATACAAAAGGGATCAATTAAGTCAGGAAGCAGAGATAAGGGAACACAGATGCCAAGTCACATGAAGACTGTCCAGGAACAGAAATCAGAAGAGATAAAGAAATTCCTCAAGAGCCAAAACAGAGGAAAGCCTTGCCCTAGAAATTGTACCCTATAGACTTCCAGCTTCTTCAACTCTGAAAAAAATGAATCTCTATTGGTTAAATTCTCTACTCATGGTATTTCTGTTTAGCAGCAATTGATAGTCAAGACACTCCTAGAGCACTACTCACCTAATTATGGGACTTATCACAGTGTGTGAGGCCTGGCAGAACAGATAGCACGGCATGTTCATAGTCGATGCAATGATCAAACTACATTTAGTGAGTCATCCTCCACCACTACACTAGCTCACTTCAATTACTCAGATAATTGCCTCACTCTTATTGTCTCCATTAGTCATATAATTTAAAAGTATAAGCTTACAAAGCGAGTATGGTGGCTGCACATTATTTTCATACCATTATCAAAACTGGCTTCCAGCATGATCATATTCTATAGATAAAATTGTCAACATTTTGGTAACTATAGACATTAACCCTTGTACCTATGAAATAATGACTTAGGCAAATAACATTGCATCTAAAATAAGTAGCTCTAAAAATAAATTTTATTAAATAGCCTGCATTTTCTCTCCTGTAGAACTCAATAAAAAAATAATACTGTATTGGGAAATTATAACACAATGACCATTTAAAAAACAGGATAGACTTTAATTATCTATTTTGCATAAGCTATACCTCCTAGAGAGGGAAAAACTAAGTTACTCTTTGAAGGTAAGGATTTTGAAGTTTCATCTTATATACTTTGGGCAAATTGCCAGGAGGGACCAATCCTTGCTAAAGGACATCATGCTTGGGAGGAGGGAGAGTGTAGGAGGGAAAGACCACAAATGAGATGGATTGACACAGTTAGTGGAGTACTGGGGGTAAGTGCACCAGAGATAGTGAGATTGGTTCAGAGCAGGGCAGGGTTCAGAGCTATTGTGCTTGGGGTCATGATGCAGTCAACTCAACAGCAGGTAACAACATCATTAAAAAAGTTTTGAAACACAACACTCATATAAAGCTGGGTAGCATTAAGTAGAATTAACACTGTAACCATACCATTACAAGCCTTTAACTATAAACACTCCAAAGTAACATTAGGTAATTTTATACATAGGTCACTTATATTTTACCTAGACTCATGAATCCATTTATATTCCACTAACTTTAATCTCCATTTTTTGCATATCATGAAACTATATGTTAATAAGTTATGTAACCAAAATTACAATGTCTAATTTATTTTCACATTATTTAGTGAAATTTGAAGATGTAAACAAAAATATTCAATTGACAGAAAACATTTATTTTCCTATTCTTTAAAATCAAGCCTTTATAACATCACCTTTTTAAAGAATATTAATTAGAAATGGTAATCCATAATTCTGTGCAATATATTTAGTTCAATATAAATTGAATGATTGTAAATTTATCTTCATAAAGTTTATCATTCATACCTAAAAAGAATTACTTTTTCTTGAAAATGACTCATTATTTTTACATTTTAATTCTTTTTCATGTAGTACCCAAGACAGTAGCTTCACTGACAATGAAATGTACAAAATAAATGACATGTCAACAAGTAAATTAGCATTCCCTTTCTGACCAGCTGGGTCATGTTTTCTTTTCAAAATCTTAGTCCCATGATACAAAATAATAATAATCTGAAAGACCTCACTAAATGATCAATATATTGACATAACCTCTATAAAAAGACACATATCATTTTAATTGATCCCTTGAAGCCATTAAATAGAATATTAAGATCAAGCCTCCAAATTATGAGAGAACATTTGCTATATTTATTAACTAATTTTCGTTAGGCTAGTGATGTTGGCACATGAAAAAAAATCCAAGAACTTTTCTATTTAGCCACATATTAAAGCAAGTCCAATTCTCACTAAACCTTTCATACACACAACATCACATTTTGTTAAAAATAGATTAAATCATGTTTACTTACCAAAAAACTTCCAAAGGCTGAGTTAAATATTGCAGCTGCCTATAGAGAAATTAAATGGGAGAGAAAAAAAATAAATTCATTGAAAGTAATAAAGAAATAGCAAAAGCAAAGATTAGCATTCTATCTCTATCCAAAATTTTAAAAAATTGATTCCATAAAGCAAAGTTAGTCACAAAAATTGCCAGTGGCCTATGGTTTACTATGACAGATGAACTGCAGCTAAGGAATTCATAAATAATGAGTCTCTAAAGCAAGGAGAGAAGGCATGTCATGAGATACTTTGAGCCTCTATGACGGTACCAAAAGAACCACCACCAATAGTAAATCAAAACCTTGTTGTTATTGACTTTTGTTACTAGACTCAAAAGCAGAGGTTGATTTCTTTATTTCTTTTTTTAAAAAAGTCATACTGCAAGAAGGATTAAAAATAGAACTATAAGGCAAATATTAACTACTCTCTGTGACTAACCATGCAAGTTTCTATGAGCCACAATCACAGGTGAGATCTGTTGTTCTGATATACCACACATTAGAAATACAAACAAGGTTATTAAGACTTTGGAAGTTATTTACTGTTAATTCTAAAGCAGAAACAAGCAAGGAAAAATTTCAATTTGGTGTGCATCAATTCAAAGAAGAAATAAATATTCAACTGTGCTTACCTAAATATCCAGGGGATACACAGTAGATGTAATACATCTCTTAACTTTAAATCAATCAACATATTCCAGAAAGCTACACCTGAATCCTGAAAGCTTCTCACATTACCCCAAAAGGATAAAAACTTGCATAAAATCCAATTTGATGAAAGAAAAGGCAAGAGAGGGGGAAAAAGAAAAAGAAAAGGCAAAAAGGAGGGGTAGAGAAAACTTATTCACATGTCCTGTAGATCCAGAGCAGACTTAAATTAATCATCATGGACATTATCAGACACTTTGTAGGAAGAAGAGGATGTCAGTTTAGTAAGTTTGAATAAAGTCCAAAGGCAGACTAAGAGCTGTAGCTGAAAATGCCTTCTGCTCCAGAAGAGGATGCAATGAGAGTGAATGGGTAATGAGATCCTTGGCTCCAGAGAGCTTAGCTCTTCTATTCAAGTTCATAATTAATTCAAAGCTTTGATAATTTCATTAGATTTCTCCTTTGCTGGCCCTATCAATAAAAGATGGCACTGGACCACAGCTCCTCTGTGGCATAAACACAAGCTCAGGCACAGACCAGGGAAACCTTTGCTTCCTGAAAGGGACAATGGCATATGGCGTTCTGTGATTTGCAGGGAGAGGTGGAGAAAAAGAAAGAAAGATGAAGCTAAATAAAATATTACAGATGGCAACTGTAAACTGCAGCACCAAATTTAACACATCTTCCTGGAATTCCATTATGGAACATTTCAAGAAAAAGCTTGATGTATTAAGGAAAAATAAGTAGGAAGGTATAATAAACAAGTGAGTTTTGGTAACAAAAATTTAGAACATCACACACTTTCCCCACAATTTTTACTGCTAGACCTAATGTTGGCTATGAACATATTATCTCTCTTTTTTTGTTAGGAAAAAAATTAGATCCTCCCTGTCAGTTCCTCTTTGTCAAATTTCTTTCTTTCTTGGGTCTTTTCTCAATGTTAAACTAATCAGTAATTTTATACTTAAAAAAGAATCCAATTTGATGAAAGAAAAGGCAAGACAGGGGAAGAAAAAGAAAGGACAAAAAAAAGACAAAAAGATTTGAAGTCAAAGTGAAGTAGATACTAATTCTTAATCATTACATCAAAGCACCATCCTCCGTACTCCCACCATTTCTTTTTGTAACTTGAACACAAGAAACTGTACATGGCTTGGCTGTGTGCCTGCATCACATTAAACACCAGTGATGACAGTGATGGGCTACTTTAGGTGTCCAAAGATGCTTCAGGTCAACTGAGTCAGCACAGCGCTTACCTTTCGTCATTTTTCTCGCATCTTTGATGGAGTTGAACTCATTCACCTAAACTGTCACGTGATTTGCCCTCACAATGAGTGCAGCCCATCTTTTTAAGATGGCTGATGAAAGGCTCTGGTAAGAACCCTATGACATCTGAAACTGAACCAAGGACCCGGGTACAGAAGAATTAAGCAACAAATAATTGAGCTAGTAGTTGGCACAAGTCTATATTTGTTTTACAGAATTCCAAAGAGTGATATTTGATGTGTTTAACTGATATTTTAAGAGGGGTTCAAGTCTTCTGACTGAAAGAGGCCTTCCAAGTTCCTTATCATGATGTGCAATGTCTGCCATGAACAAGCCGCTTTTCTAACTCATTCCTTGCTTCAAATTTCATAGCTCTGCAACATTCAGCTATCTGTAATTCCTCAAATTCATCTAGTTTCTCCCTCTATGTTTCCTGGTCTAGAATGCCCTACTCTCTGGCTCTGCTTGATCATTCCTTTTCATTCTTAGTGCTCACTAAGTTGTGCCAAGAAATCTGGAGAACAGCCAGCTGGTCACCTGACTAGAAAAGATCAATATTTGTTCCCATTCTAAAGAAAGGTGACCCAACAGAGTGCAGAAATTATCAAACGGTATCATTAATATCTTGGAGAGGGACATCATGCTTGGGAGGGTGGAGGGACAGCACAGGAGGGGAAGATCCTCTATGAAGTGGATTGATTCAGTGACTGGGGTAATCGGGATAAGTGTGTCAGAGGCAATGCGATCGACACAGGATAGAGCAGGGTTTAGGGCTGTTGTACATAGGGTCGCTACGAGTCGCAAACGACTTGACGGCACATAACAACAACAACATCATTAATATCACATGCAAGCAATATTCTGCTGAAATTATCCAAAACCGATTGGAGCAATATGTCAACAGAGAACTTTCAGATGTGCAGGCTGTATTTAGAAGAGATCGTGGTCCTAGGGATATTACAGCTAATGTTAGCTGGATTGTGGCAGAAAGCAGAGAATAACAGAAGAATGTCTATTTGGGCTTCATTGACTATGCAAAGGCTTTGACTGTGTGGATAACAACAAGCTATGGCGGATTTTGAGAAGAATGGGAATCCCAGAACATTTGACTGTGCTAATGCGAAACCAAAAAATGGTTTG